ATGAAATCATGAGTGGAATTGAGAAAATGAATAGAGGACAATTACTCAGTCTTTCACAGCGTGAGAACACATGAGCACCACGAGTAACACTTTCAAACCAAAACAAATATTTCTGTATGCGTAGTTGGACTATAGAACTCATCGTCATACAGCACTGTTATTTGTGAAATATTTATAAATATTCAAAGAGCAATTAAACAAATTCATAAAAGAAGAGTTCACAACTGGCTGTTGTCACGGTCCATTCGGTGGACTCGTGATGGTTCATTTGCTGTGATCTCGAAGTGCAAAATTAAGGCCACCACACCAAAGGGATTTGCTTTAATCAAACAGTGAAACTTTATTGTTTGGCCATAAAGCGGCATGCAATAGGTAAAGAGGGTGAAAGGAAAGGGAAAAGTAAAGTGAAAAGAGGAAAGAGATCGATAGCTACCACCGTGGGTCCAAGGTATCCCTATGGTCCCAGCTCCAGGCAGTGTCCCACCAGTCCTAATGATTGTTGTTATCCTTGGCGGGGAAAGCTTCCAAAGTTTGGGTGCTGAGGGGCCATCTTTTACACCAAGTAACACACCTTGCTCCTCCTCTGTATCTCTGCCTGTTCTTGGCTCCATCGATGCTGATCAGTCTTTCATGACAGCAGTTATGCGGCCCACCTGGTCAGCTCAGGCTTGTCCTGTACCAGAGAACGGCACAGCACTCTTCGCGCCATGCAGCTCTCCCTCCCGGAGTGTTCGTACCACATTCCATTCTTGGGGTCAGCAACTGTGTCTCAGGCAGGCTGCTGCAGAGTCAAGATGTTAGCCTAACTTTTGGGGTACCTTATTGTCCATATCCCTGATGACAAGGTTGAGACAATGCTGTTTTCCGGACGGACTCTTACAGCTGTTGACTCCAAAAGTCCTTGGATGCCACCACAAGTCCTTGGAGCATTTACAAGGAAAATCCCAAATTTTACAAGAAAAACGGGCTTGCCCTGTTCGTATATGTTCCCAAGGCATTTGATTTTTGGGTCACTGTGAGAGACCGTACAGGACCAAGTGGAATTTCAACAGTATGGCTCTTCTTAGGAAAAGTATTATTAAGTCATTATTTCATAATTATATATAACTAGAAAACATAATTTCGTTTATTTATTTATCCAGGCATTGCAAACTGATATAAAAGATAGGTGTTTGAGTTGAAGGCAAAATATGACCAGTGTTTCTTCTAAGACTTGTATGAATAGAGTCAGCTGAAATAGTACACTCTGTTTTAATGATTTTTAACTGAGCAGAGTAAGCAGCTTAGCTGATCCGGTTTTGGATTCACTCCAGGCACAGAGCCATAAGAATGATGTGGTTTCAGGGGGCTGAGTCCAACATGCATGCAAGCAGGCATGTACACAGAAGAGGAGCCAAACTGGAGCGAAAGAGGAGATGTACAGCCTGATCTGGGCTCTCTGCCGGTTAACATGGAAAGTTTGTTCTTTGGCATTTCCTATGCAAACACAAAGAGTGCTTTGAAAGTCTAAGCTTTTTAATTTGCTGCAGGTGCCAACCCATACAGAGCAATTTGACGTAGGAATTTTATTTCTGAAGTTATTAATGGTAAGGTGGTGTAAAGATGTCAGTTAAATAGTATCACATTTTAGGAAATTATTTTGCATAAATAAAAGTATGCCTGTGTCATGGTCCAGTTACTGAGGGAGATTTTAAAAATTGGATGAGTGTGAACTTTTTTTTCTAAATTCCCAGTATTTCTTTTTCTTTATTAGATGCGCAGTCCTGCCCCTCACCTCACACTGAATGGCACTGCACTGATAGCCACCCGGGCTGGGTGTGAATAGACAAGCTCTCTTGCACCTCTTGAATCTTATAGAAAAAAAAGCAGGGATGAGGTAAACCTGGTCTGGAGAACAGCCTGATGATCCCATTCTGAAGCTTCCCTCTGTGTGTGATCCCTCCAGCCCCATCATCCTCCTGCTGTCAGCACAGTGAATTCTCAAGTACAGAGGATTTATAGTTTTGTGTTCAGAAATACATGTCTAACTGAAACTTTTGAGAAATTTAAAGCAGATGCTCCTTTTCAGGGAATATGGCCTCTCCTCAATGGCCTTGCACCTTAAATTGATGTATCTCTCCATCTCTGGGTAGGCCTGTCTGTGTGTGTTCTTCCAAGTAAAAGTTGTGGATTTTTTCTTTTCTTTTAGGGATTTTAGGATTGACCAGGTAGAGAACATATCTGTATGAATTTTTCTGAGAGAGGATAATTGCATTGTAGTTACATTATAAAGCACATTTTTAAAAAGAACAAGAAGCGGGTTTAACATTGCTCTTTGAAAGCAGTAAGAACAAATTTGCTCAGCAGTAACAGTAATCTATTTGAGATTTTGACATTTCGTATTCAGCATCAGCTCTGGAGACTAGAATGCACTGAAAGAAATTGGCCAGTGGAGAGCTATTAGTGGAAGATTTTTAGGCTTTTTTTTTTTTTTTTTTTTTTTTTTTTTTTTTCCCCAAAAAAGGCCAATAGTAAATGAAGAGCCTTCTGTCCTGGAAGGAATGTAAGGGCTACTAGGGTTTCTTCTTCAGTCTTCAAACTAATTTATGCAAGTCTGAGCAAATAAACTTTTAAAACTTTGAAGTAATTCAAACAAACAAACAAACCTGTGTACAGTCCATAAATATTGAGGATAGTCTATTTCCTGGAAATACCAGGAAAATAACATTTTAAACTATTATATACACAAATACACATTTTTACAGCAGAGCCCTCAAGCATCCTTGATGACAATTAAAAAGGCCATTCTTGTTCAAGCACAGACCGTTCTCCACAATAGCTCCATCACCATACAACTCCCACCATGCATTGCACACACATACTAGATCAAGAACTTGATCAGAAGATCAAGAGAGTAACATGCCATCCCTTCCTCCAAAACACGTTGCAAGCAGTATGTACATGCTTGCACGTTCTCACCATGGAACAGATGCACAAATCCTTGGTTTCTGGGGTAGTTGCTCAGGTAATGCTGGCAGTTCCAGTTTTCTGCCTGGGAGAACTATTTGTCTAGGAATATGGCTTTAGGAAGAAGAAAGGAGCAGCATAAACTTAGAAAATACGTTATCAAATTAAGAAGCTGTTCTGAAATAATTTTCTACTAGCATCAGAGGGCCTGCAAGAATAGAGCAGAATTACAGCCTTCACACTATCTAATACAGACCCATTTGCTCTCTCCAGCTCCCATTTACGCAATGGAAACATGTAAGATTTCAATTCAGAGAGCTGCACTGCTAACATGAAATTCTGGGAGGACTTGGTGAAACCCTTGCCTTTACATTATGGGTGCACTGCCAGTAATCTAGACGGGAATAAAACTGCCATTCAGAACTGCCCACTATGCCAAAATGATGTACTAGATGAATTTCATTCTTTCTGCCAAAATCCAAATGGGCATAAATAATGCATCACTCGATGAGGAGACAGAAAAACTATTCTTATTTAATAACCTGATTATAAGGAGTCTCTGCATGAACTTTTTGTCTTAATAGTTCATAGAGGAATCTGGTAATGTTTGGGGGTAATATGGATAAACTTTATACAAGAGTCTAATCCACTGGGCAGTGATGGCAAGCGAGGTTGATCTGACCTAAGTCCTTTTAGAAGTCCATCCACTGCTACTAAAGCTTATCTTCCCTTGCCAAATGTTCACCTAAGCCATGCTACAGATTCTGTGCTATAGGAAAAAAATAATATATTTGTTTTACATGTTGTCTGCTCCAATCTTCTGCAGTTCTCAGTGGCAAACTCATGTGAGGGGTCCGTGTATTTACCTGACGTTTCCACTGAATAGAAGCTGCACAGTTGAATTGAGTATCACTGAGTTGTAGATGTTCATAGTAATATAAGACAGAAATGGGAGATCTCCTTTGGAGAATTTTCTGTGCTTGAAAGAGAGTAATGCAGAAAAATAACTTCATGGTCCCTTCCTTCCTAACTGAGAGTGATTCCCTGAAATATTTCAGGAAGAAAAATCTGTCAATAAATGTTCCTTACTCCATTTACTCCTCCTGGAGAATTTCTTTTAACTCTTTTGCAAAAAATTCACTTTCAAAGACTACATGGTATGTGTCTCTGCAGTAGCCAGGATTGTAATTTCTCTAATTCACCCTACCAGAGGACAGATACTATATGCTACTTATTTTACTCATCTTACACTTGATATAATTCAAGAGTACTTTCTTGTAACCCTTGAGAGAAGATTACTTCAACAAAGAAAATAAATGGTGGGAAAGCTCTTTTATCCATTCATCTACTGCATGTCCCCTGCATAAAATTCTTTGTGCAAAAGCAATGGTGTGGCAGTGCAAGTGAGCATGAGCAGACATGACTTTGTGTATTGTTCCTGAGATCAAACATCTAAAAGAAGCTGGGTTTCCCCTCGTTTGAGAACTTGCCTCCTCTAAGGCAGGGTTATGCCAAACCCTTAACATTTAAAACTTACAAGTAAACATTACAATAAGGCTGTCTTTTAAGAACTACAGATGCATGAGATGCAGGGTTTGGGGGCTGGAGAAGAAAAAGATTGCCTTCTGTGGCAGTTTTACTCAGGGTACACCTGGCTTATAACCTTATTTCTTAGCAACAGTAAGGCTTCATAATTAGCTTTTATAAATAAAGTCTTATCCTAGGACATAGATTAAAATAAGAGAAGGGATGTTTCAAAATTCACAGTAAGTTTGCAAAAGTTGGCCACACTGACAAGAACTCAAGCTGATTATCCAAAATCAGAAATTGTGCAGAAAATTCCTGACCTACGTCACTTCGCGAGGAGAAGGAAGAGGGGTGCCCACCGTGTTGCAGCAATGTGATTCACAAGTTGATTTTTTTTTTTGTCCAGAGTCAGAAGTTGCCCTGAATGTTTCTGTGCCACTTCCAGGTGGAGAAGGGGTGAGTGCTAGACTTGGCTTGTTTTGCTCATAATATAAATACCTTTTTTTTTTTCTTTTATTGTTTTTCAGCAACAGTTGGCCAAGAATATAAAATTTGGGCAGCCTCCACAAATGACAATTTCCGTGAGGACAATGGGGGAGGCAAACACTAGTATAGAAGAGGATGTGTTGCTCAGTAGCCCCATGGAGATTGAGACTCAGCAGGATACAGCAATCTCAGACAGTGGTATTAAAGTAAGCACTTTAAATCCACATATTGATGGCATTATAGCAGTACTAAAACAGTAAAGTTCACTGGGGCGTAGCAGATGTCTCCAGTGAGGCGTAGCTGAGCTCAGCGGGCTGTTTTATGTGGGTGGGATCTCTCAAATTGTGCTTCTTAGACTGGTGAGAAGCGTGTGCTCTTGGCATCCTGAGATGAGTCCCGCAGAATTACCGGTTTGAACATTTGCTGTGAACTTCCAGCAATGCAGACATCACTCACAGTACAGATAGAAGACAGAAGATTTTTCTGAGACAGAAAATGTGTTGAAATGTGGATCTCCCAGCATGGAAAGTTGTGTACAGCATCAAATGGCAAAAGGGAAAATCATTCCAAAATGAGAGGGGCCTGGAACCTAAACCTGTAAAATCCTGAGTCTTGGGGTAAATATCCATTATTTCTCACGGACAGGAACCAAAGGCAAAGAAGGGGGAGAAACATTTTGAGAATGCTCCCTAAATCCAAATGTGCAGTGTAATTCAAATAATTATTCAAATTATCCATGAAGATTTTGATACCAGGAACTGTGGGCATTTAGGTGTACAGAAGGTTACAGACAGCGAAGAAACAAAATGAGTGACAGAAGCTCTCTGGAAACCCTCTAAGGCGAGACTGGTTCTTTGTGTTGCTGTAATGGCTGAAGGGAGTGTGGGGGACAGAGGGACATCCTTCCCTGCCTGGAGGAGGCTGACTTCGTGCCTGGGAACCCTTGGGGAAGGCACGCAACAACCCACCATGCACATGCAACCCTTAAGATCCTGGAGAGACACTGGGGCATGAGCCTCCGCTCGTGTGAAAGACAAAGGCAGTAAGTCTCCTCTGCAGCTCATGCCTACTTTCAGCCAAACACACAGAAGGGAGATTTATGGCTGAGGTGGCCAAAATTCTTCATCAGTGTTCAAGAGGCAACGTAGCTCCTCTGTGACCACTTCCTTCATGGCTGTGGTTGGATTTGTCAGGGAGCCAGGCATTTGGATAGGACCTGCACACTCGCACCTCTCCCTCTGCAGTCTGGAAGGACAAAAATGAAGCCAAAGTAAGGTATATTTTTTCTGCTTCACAAATACTCTTTTCTGAAGTTAAGGTAGATCAAGATCATCCTTTGTGCCTTAGACCACAAAGAGTGCAGTGGGACTGGACAGGTTTTGGCTATGTACCCTGGTATGGGGCAGGACTCTGTGTTTGAGACCAACATAGATTCTCTGCAAACAGCCTTCTTACTGGGTCCTGCAGGAGACCCAAATGTCACCTAGTGACCTCCAGCTCAAGGAAGAAAATAATTCAAGCACTAAAAAACCACTAGAATATCTTTGTGTAATAAGGAGGGAGAGATTCAATCCTTACCACCTCCTGTTTTACATATTACATTTTGAAAACAAAATTAATTCCCCTTTGCATAATTCTTTTTCCAAATAATTAAGAAGCAAACATCCCTACTCAGAGGAGATTGCAGACACAAACAAACTGATGCTACATGCATAGGTTCAGCCAGAGCACTCCTTTTCTCTTTCTGTGCACTATTCATTAGCTGCTTTACCAGACATTTCTGGTGCACAGCAGCTTGCCTGGTTTCTGCTCCTGTCTGCTGTTGGCCTCGTAACTCCTTTCCTTGTTTATCTTCATAGGTCCTGGGGGTACGGGGTGGCTTCTGTCAGGTGTTGGTGGTCAGGACCACATAGTGCTGCTCTACTTCAAACAGGTTTCCCATGTTGCTTTGTGACTTCTGATTTTCCCAACTGAGTAACTTGGATCGATGGCAAGAGTTCTGGGTTTCATGTAATCTGTATTTGGAAATCTGATTTTTTTAGGCTTTATACTAACAATCGTGTGCACCTGGTGTAATGGCCTCCCAACATTCATTAGGTTATGAAGTAATACTATGATATAATGATTAAAACCAATGTTTCTGGGTGTGATGAATGCTGCTTCAAGCCCTGCGCCTTAAAAATCCCCTCTGGTGAGATGGCTTGGAGAGGGACAGTAGCTAAGGAGTCCTAGTGACTGATAGGCTTCAACCGCTTGGGCAGGGGGTGGGTTGCTTTGTGAGGAGTCATCAAGAACCTGGAGTTGAAACTCCTTGCAGCAGAGGTAATGCCTGATCAGGTTCCTATATTTTTTCCTTAGTGTAGGTCAGGAGAAAATAAAGTTACTACAAGTTGATTGAAATCCTGCAATGCTGTGCTCTTTCTTTTGATTTGGAACTTGGTTATTGTACTAAGGAAGAGTGAGTGTTTTGCCTTTTTTAGTGTCTTGTAGCAGCAACTGCTTCTGTATAGACAGCAGTGATTCAAAAAGCAGCAAAATGAAACTCATAGCATTTAGGAACAAGAATTGTTTATCCATCAATCCTACAGTGACAGGAAACAGGATAAAAATCGTACCCTTACACGCCTGATTTCATGAGTCCTTTGAACCATATTTATTAGATGCTTTACATTTTAATTTTAGCTGTGGTAATCTTGTTTTCTAGTCCACTGAGACTTCGAATTTGTTGAGAACAATGGATTTGCCTGGAATAGGACGTGAAGTGGAAGAAAAGGTAAAAAAACTTTGACACTTGGTTTGCACTGAATTACTTTCCAATTTTAGTTATTAGAAACCTCACAGTCAGTTTTTGCTTTAATAGTTATTTCATTGTTTCATTGATCATCCAAGATTTTGTGAATGTTGTGCAGTTTTAGGGCTAGTAAATAGGCAATAACTAAGATTGAGAAATCTGTAAGTTGATTGCAGGAAACAGCAGAACTTGGTCTCTGCCAGTCTTGCA